AAAACAAAGAGATTAAGTTGCCATCATCCCATTTGTTTTGATCAGCAGCAGAGACTCAATTTGTAATATTTGAAGTCCATCAAAATCAAGCTTATGCAGCTTGTACATCTTCTGAAGAAGAGCATGCACAGAATGCTGAATAAAGTTGTGCTAATATTGCATCACACCAATAAACTAGAAATTTCTATACTTGCACAAGCTGGTATTCCATAATAACAGCACTCTGTTAAATCAACCATACTGTGAGATAAAAGCAATAGAGCAACAGCTCATGGAGCATCTCTCACCTGAAAAGTCCCTGCATGGTCTTCTTCTTTGTCGCCCTCTTTACCCTCCTTCAGAGCAATCAGTGTGAATCCACGAAAGTAAGCAGGTGTGGCTGCTGACAGCGTTACTAAAGAGAAACAAAAAAGAGAAAACTAATTCTGACTGTGAAATCGACAACCTACACAACACTTCATAACTTAGTTTAAATGTTTGTGTTAATTTAGTGCTAATGAAGCCTAAAAAGATCAACAGCATGCAGTAGAGCCAGGTAGAGTACAGGAAGGTTCAATCCAAATTTCCATGCAAACTCTGCCAATGCATGCAGTATTTCTGTTATTTACGGCCCCAGAATATTCTTGAAAACAGAAAACCAATCTGCTCCATTCCACAGAGATTTCTGATGTGGAGCAATTTCTCTTGGAGCCTTCCCCATAATACAAGCCAGGATCTAGTCCTTGACATACAGAAAGTTTACTTAATTATAAAACAAGATAAGACTATTTTACCCATATCCCTAGAGCCAAACTATGCTCAGCACAGTACCTAGACTGATGGATAACTTCATTCTAAACCACCATTTAATTCCCCTTATCATTCCATTCCCAGGGTTAAACAAGCCTGTATTCAATTTTATAGCTAAAATTAACCTCTAGGGACTATCACCAGCTGGGGATTGTTGGAACACACTGCACTTCAGCAGCACCTTCTCAAACATCCTTATCTATGCTCCAGCCTGCCCAGGAAGGCCCCCTATGTCTCTGAAGGTATGTTGATTTGTTTTACTACCCTGAGAGATACCCATGTCAGAATACTCTCCGACTTTTATTAATGCACAGAAGTTGAGCAACAGCTCAGGTACCCAGAGTACATTCCTGAGCACCTCTCTCAGGAATATATCCTGCTTACCTGCTCCAACTCTCACACCAAACCCAGGAATGAGGCAGTGAAAACTGCTCTGGAGTCATCCCCACCTCTGCGCTGAATCCTCTGTCTCATACTTGCTTGAGAGCAGCACCGTAGGGAGCCCTCAGGGCAACTCTGCTGCTGTGTTTAGTGTGTGCGAGTTAGAGCAGGTGGGCCGAGGGTGTTTGAGGACAACTCCTTGGCACCTGAGGGAAACACTGTAGACACACTACCAGATATCTCCTAGTGCCTCGTATACGGCTTGGGTAGTACCAACAACACAGAGCTGCAAGCCAACATTTGTTCAATAATTTTAAAATTCTCTAACTTTTTAAAAATTTCCTGGAAAAAAATTCTGATCTGGATGAGACCTGGCATGTGATATTTCAAAGAAAAAGATTTTTTTTTTTTTAAGGGAAAAAAATAAGTGCCATTCCTAACATTGGGCTTCACAGTTAAAGCTGAAGCCACTATAACAGTGCAAGTCAATACTCTTATTTCCTTGTATCTTTACACTCTTAAATCCTAGTTGGCAGTATGAAAACTGGAGAAAACCTTGGTTCTTTCTGAACAACTGCTACCATCAATGCTGCTTCACAGAAAAGTATCCATGGTAGCCTCTCTCTCCCACACACAAACAAGCCACCAGAGGTTGAAATAAAAGTCTGATAGTAAACCATAAAGGGTTTGCATGTTCAATATCCAAAAGCACAGATGCGTATCTGGAGCATATGTAGTTTTCTTTGACCTAGAAATGAGAAACTAGAAATGTAACAGGAACAGCATTTATCAACATATCTCTAGTGCTGCTTGGTTTTATTTGGGTCAGACAACCAAAAATAGGATTTCTGGTTACATTCCTGTACATCTTCTTCTGTTCAGGCATGAAGAAGTGAGGATTAGAGAGATACACAGAAATTAAATAGAGAGTTAACTGAGTTAGCATGATTTCTGCAAGAAGGTGGACAAAGAATAAATTAATTTGTTTGCAAATATCACAAATGAAAGCACCATGTTTGACTCATTTGATCCATGAGAGTTATTTGTACTCACAAATAACCTAACTAATGCAGGGTAGGGAGCCTGTACTCAGAGATCCAGGTGGTCCCATTCAGTCCTGTATACTGATGAATATGTTGGTAAATCCCAAAAGTTTCATAATTTAAGTTTTCATTCTTTCCTGAAACTTCATTACCAAATTACAAAATAGTGATTGGTACATTTGTACATATGTAGGTAAAATGCTAACACAAGAGGGCCCCATCCTTTTGGCTTCTAAGTAAATGGCTCAATAACAGCAATCATAGTTCATTGCTGTTAATGCAGAAGACTAACTTAGTTCCATCCTCTATTTTCTTATGAACTTCTTCAGCAGTAGGTGAATCTAAACAAAACCCTAGGGCCAGATTCTCAACTAGACTAAACAAAGTGAAATCAAATAATCACAGTGAAATCAAATAAATAAATATCAATGAAATCAAATAAACACCCAGTGAAATCAAATAAATTCATCTTTATTACACAAACTGAAGAATTACTGGCCCTTAGAATTTAGTCCCCATAAAAAGTGACAATAATAACAATGCCTAGAAGTATAAAATTACCCAAGGATTAAACACAATTCCAAAGAAATGTCTAAGTACATTGTGAAAAAAAATGGTATTTTTAGGAATAAGCTAAATGAACATGAATTTAAGAAGACAAACTCAAGTGTGCGCCAACTCAGGGCAAAGGTATAGACAATATACAAGAAAATAGACAATATATTATTTTTCTAGAAAATAAAGAGTCCAATATTACAACCCTATTCTGAAATTAGGAAATATACATACAGGTGTTAATAACTATGCTGCATAGTCAGGACTGTCTAGGAATAAAGTCTGATTTTGACTCCAAAATGAGTTATATTAATATTTGCCTAACACTCATTGCCCCAATGAGTTCAGACAAACAGTTAAAAACGTGCTTAAAGCTGCCCCTATGCAGGACTAAAATACGGTCAGTATGTTCTTGTACCACTGATGATGCAGGAGATATGTAAGAAGCAAGCGTTTTTTTATGAAACATTTTGTTGGACCAGCTGTGTAGTTAAGAGCTATAAAAGCAGTGAGCTAGATAAAGATGCTTTCCTAAATCAGTACCTATATTTATTGTGTATGTATTAGTGGGCACCCTAAATACTCAGTGCCAGTGTTTGAGTGCTTGAAGTTGACAGCATGAAAAACAACAAACAGCCAAGAGGTGGTAATCTTCTAGTGGATATGGAACAAGGCCAGAATGGACATAGCAACGTTGTTTTTCTATTCTTTTATTGATTCTTTAAGCTACCCCATCTGCTAACAGAACATTGCTACAAAATATTATTTGAAGGACTGTTTAATCAAGAGGCTTGTACTGGCAACTGGAGTAAGTCCTGTTGTATTAGCCCTAAAAATATTTACCCCTATGTGGTCCTCCATAGCTGTAATTCTATATGATGCTGGAATCTGAATTGTATCTGGCTCTTGCAAAAGGTGGGCACTTCCTTCTTGAATGTCAGAGGTCTTTTTCTTGTGGGAACCAAGATATAGTTAGGACACTAATACAACTGTAATACACATTCTAGACATATTATTTTGTAGGTGATCTGGGGCAATAGGCGGTTACCACCTGGACTAATTGGTTGCCATTTCTTAGACAGCAAGACACTAAAGTAAGGAACAGTTAAGTCTCAAAATGAAATGTACACCAAGTGGCTTTTTACTTTCCATGGTAAGATTGCATTGCATTGGTTCATTTTGTCTACCTCTCCCCTTTCCTGCAAGGAGACACACCCTCCCGTCCAAGTTAAATGCAATGTGATTAGTTGGCTTTCAGCTTGGGAGCCATACTGTACAACTCTCATTTAAATGAAGCAAACCCATGCTGCAAGCTGCACAAGAGGCAGCAAACAGTGTTTGCTATCCTGTTAATGCCACCTATTTTCCTCCTGAATGAGATGCGTAAAAAGTGCCCAGATCTGTGTAAAAGAGTGTATTTATTAGTTTTAAAATAAACAAACCAGCCTGTGTATTGACAGATTAAGCACAGGAGTGCAAACTTCAACATTACTCAAGAGTGAAGCACTTGGAAAACCAATGTAAGTGGAATAGGCAATGTTTATCCAAATGGGTCCTTGAAAACTGTTTATTCTCCAAAGGTGGTGAACAGATCTGCAGGTGACCATTCCATCAGCACCAGAAACAGCATCCCAATGTAAAGTGTACTCAAACAAATCATACCAGCCCCTTGCTTACTCCCCTCAATAACTTTCAGGGTTTTAAGGAGGGAACACAATTTGCATTCATGTACTCATGTGAAAAATCCATATTACAGACTTTTCTATGCATGTATTTAGGCAGACAAATCTCCTCTGGCTCTTAATAAAAATAATTCTGTGCAGCTTCTAACAGAGCTAATATCTTAGCAGGATCAACAGAACATCCAGGCTGGGACCAATTACTTAAAATTATTGTTTCAGAACCTATTACCTTGAATCAATTTTTAAAGTTTGAGTTTGATTACCAACAAGCAACTGAGGAACAGAACAGAAATTAAAAGCACAGCAACAAGTGTCCCTGTCTGTGTGAAGGGGAAAAGGAAAAACTGCAACACTTATGGGCTGTATTAACTAAAGGCAAAAGGTTTGTGCCTATGGTCTTCAACTTCTGTGTCACTCATGTTATCACCTAATACTGGAAGCCAAAAGGACCACACTGCAGAAGGCAGTCTGCTTCACAGGAGGGAGGAGCTGTGGCAAGAGCAGCTCCTCTACTACAGCTACCACGGTGGTTCTCAATCTTTTTTAGACTCAAGACACCCCTGGGCAGACTTGAGGCACCCGTCAGAAAATACAACTCTTAGTTTTCACTTATGTTTGACTGCAGAAAAATAATACAGCAATGCCTCTGTTTGCAAAGAACTCAAAAATACCATAACAGGGCAACTATGTTATAGCTATTGAAATCTCCAGTTTGAAATCTCTGGGTTTTATGTCATTAATCATGTCTGCATACCTAACACTGCTAGCATTGCATGGCACACCATCATACTCTTGAGAAGGATCTCAAGGCCATAGCACCCTGGTTGAGAATTACTGAGCTACCGGGGAGAGAGAGGGGAGTGAGTGCCTACCACCCTAATGCCAGAGTCAGAGCCTCCAACAAAATATGTGAAGGGCCATCCCAGGTTGGGGGAGCTATTCCT